CGAACCCGTGTCCCCTGCATTGGCAGGCGGACTCTCAACCACTGTGCCACCAGGGAAGCCCCCTCCCTCCGTTTTAAAGATGAAAATAGAGCACCAGGAGGTGCTCTATTGGATTTGTTCAGTGGCAGCTGGTTAGTAAGGGACTTGGTTAGGTTAGAAACCCTATTTCCTGTCTTCTCACCCCTCACAATAGTCACAGTATAGCAGTCTATCAGCCCCGTGCCTGTTTTGTTTAAAGCATGTCTTTTAAAATGTTTGGATTTTCTGTTGAGAAATGAAATTTTACATAGCAAATCTGGACTTCGGCTTCTCTCGGAAAATCAGAAGATCTTGTAATGCTGGGCTTGGACGTGCACTCTAGTTTGCTGCAGTCCCACCGAAGCCACCCGGCTTCTTTCATTGACATATCATGGCATATCTGAGAAAATGAGGCCTCCGCCAGAGACGGCAGGAGGTGAGGGAGGATCGGGCCGCCGAGGAGACGCAGCCTCCTAAGGTGTATCTCCCACGGGCCCCCCACCCCCACCCTGTGCAGTTTGGCTGTGGCTGCCTTACCCACCGGCCTCCGCTTTGTGCTCCAGATCGCAGGCTTTGTCACGATGGAACTCTCAAGCTCCTGGGCCGGCTCTCCCTCCTCTCTGAAGAGATTCTCTGGGCTGCCAATGGCTTACCCAACCCCTTCTGCTCTTCAGACCACCTCTGCCTACTGGCCAGCTTCGAGATGGAAGTCACCGCCCTATGACGGTCTCCCAGGGGAAGAGAGCTTCTCTTCCAGAAGAGCCACCTGGATCAGAGACGGTGGAAATATCCCATGCTTCTGGAAACTTAGATCCAAGAAACTTACATCCCCTCCCCTCCCCTCCTTGTTTCCTTTCTCCCATGGCTAGATTTCCTCCAGGCCTGTCCACATTCTCTGCCTGTGGCCCCTGCCCCAGCCTCTTCCTAAACCTGTGCCACATACTGGGTGGCCCTGGGAGAGGCAGAAGGGGGGGTTCCCCCTTCCTTCCATGTATCCAGTGCTCCCCCTTGATTTTTAATCACCAGGGTTGCAGGAGCTATTGATCTCATTGGTTATTTGTATTCAGGCCGTTTCTTGGTGGGGTGCCTTCTGACCTGACCTTCTCCCTGCCTGAGACCCCTGGGCCCAGCCCTCTCGCCACACACACACGCGTGAGATGTGTGTTGTGTGTGCATCCTCTCGGGGTGGGACTGCTCTGCGTAGTCATGCCTGTCTCTGACTAGCCCACTTTCCACACTGGTGCTGTCAGCCTAGGGGCAGGTGGAGGGCGTGACCGGGTAGCTGTGTGCTACCAGGCACATGGGCACCTGGCTGCCAGTGGCAGGAGCATGGGCCCGTCTCTCCTTTTATCGTCTGTGTTTCATTAGGTGTCCATCCTGCCAACCAGGGTATCCTCATCGTCCGGGCTCTGGTAACAAGTGGGCCCCACGAGCTGGAGCAGCGGATTCAGGGATGCCCTTGACCCAGAGTTCCCCACAGGCCTGGCATGCTTCCTCTAGGGCTCATCCCTTTCCCCAGGCTGCCCTGTGGGAGGCCAAAGTTTGAACCCCTGTGTGGGGTCAGTGGGCAGGGGTAGTGGATTGAGGTGCCAAACTCTTTAAGCATGAGGAGGAAGAACTGTCAGCGAGCTCCTATCTCACTGGAGGACTGCGGCGAGGGTGGGAGTCCCAGCTGGGAGAGAGCCGGCAGGTTCTGCAGCTGCCTCAGCTGGGACGCAAGACCTCAGGGCTGCAGTTTCTCCCACTGCTTTTTACTCTTTGCTGCCTCCCCCATCCCCTTCCTTTTTTCCCCTAGAAAAGCCTGGTATTTAGCTCAGGCCAGACCTTCTCAGCAGAAAGGTGGCCCTGGGCAAAACAGGAGGTGGCGCTGCCCCACCTCCGGCAAGGCCTCGGCGGCTCTTGGCCTCTGCTTTCCCTCTCCTGGTGCAGGAGCACCCTGGGGCCTCCAGGGGGTGCTCCCTTGCCCACATGAGTCACCTGCATGCCTGAATCCTGCATTGCTGGGTGTAGCTGCTGGCCCTGCAGACTTGACTTGCTGTTGGCCCACTTGGCCTCCAGCATGGGACTGGAGGATATAGCTGAGAGGCTGGAGTTCGGGACAGTTAGCTAGAGGTTAATGTTTTCTCCTTTTTTTTTTTGAGAGCCAAAGACCCAGCTTGAATAATTCTGCTGCTGCGTTCATGGTTATAAGCTTTCCACGCCTGGGTTCTGGCGAATTTATCTATTCATGTATATTTTTAAACATTGTTTCCTGGGTACTGGGCATGTGCCTGTCTGAGCCCCAGGCCTATCTGTCCACACTCCACCATCCACTCTGTTTGTCTCTCCCTGGGCATCTCCTGAGATGGTCTCAAGACAGTGCCCTATTGGTTTGTAGGACTAGGGCCCATCACTGTTTTTTTCTGCCAGGAAATGTAGTTTAAAAATGGCTAAAGATGGCAGAGGGCAGGAGCTTGATAGATGATCTTTTCCTTGTTTTCTTATTTGTTTCTGTTTTGGAAATGAAAGGGGGTTTTAAATGGTCATTCGAACTCTCTTTTCCAAATAAAGGTTTACCTTTCCCCCTACTGTTGGTTATTTTATTAGGATCCTGAAAGGCATGGGGGAGGGAAGGCCTGGGGAATGAGGTGGGCAGAGAAGAAGAGACTGATCCTGGGGTGGGGCCTCAAACCTGAGATCTAGACCAGAGAAAAGGGTTATCATCTCCCTCTGGTAACTGAGCAGATGCCCACTACTCTGAGGCCTGGGAGGAACGGCTTGAGCGCAGCCTCCTGCCCGGACTTCCGTGGGGTGCAGCTCTCTTCTCCATCCTCACCAAGCTAGAGGAGAATACTGCTTTCAGCTACTCTCATTCTTATTCCATCTGCTGCCCCTTACCTCCCGTACCTCCGCCTAGTCCAAGCAGAGGAGGATCTGTGGCGAAAGCAGGATGAGAAGTGTTTTCCTCGTCAAAGCTATGGCAGCTGCGTGAGACATGATGCACGTGGCAGATGCCTCTTGCCGCGCTTCTATTTTTGATCATCTCTTCTGTGTTCAGGAGCCAGGGCTGAGCTGTGAGCCACCTGTTGCTGGCAAGGTTTCTCATCTTTCCCGGGCCTCACTGTGCTGGGACTTCATCTTCCTCCGGCCTTCCTGTGCAGCAGGTCCACCAGCCCCTGTGCCCGTGGGAAGAAGCCCCGAGACAGGTGTGGTTTTCTGCCTTACCTGAACAGAATCCCAGACCCCACACCTCTGAATCAGTACCTGGGAATCTGGGTTATTTAAAGCTACCTGGGTACCAGTTGAACCACCTGGGCTGGGATTTAGCCAGGGATTAGGAACACCACTTGTCATCTTGGCCTGGTCACTTGGTGATTGTGGGTAAGTTAACCCCTCCCTATGTTGCACATATCTTGGTGAAAGAGAAATTAAAGTAATATTCTTTTCCACGTGTGAGGAATTTTCAGATCTGAAATTACGTTATTTGAAGGGATGCTAAAAATCCCAGAGTATTATTGGTAATTACAATAATTGGTAATTACTGGTTACAGTTGGAATTGCAGGTGGGTAGTTCTCCCTAATCAGCCTGGACAATTGGCCCTGGGGGCTTGGAATTATTTTGTAGCTCCTAAGCTTTTAGATATGTTCCCAGAGACCCCTTTCCTGGCCTGGAGGGCTTCCTCCTGGTTGAGGTGAGTCATGTAGCATCTGTACGGCACTTTGATTCAGTTTCCAGAGTGCTTCCACTTCCATGATCAGTAGACAGTTGCACTACAAGGTGGCAGTTCAGGTGTGCATACCTTACCTTTATATCCAAGGAAACAGATCCCAAAGAGGTAAACTGAGAATCTCCTTTATTTCTTGCCACCCAACTCCTCAGAACACAGCCTTTCCTGGGAGTAGAAGAGACAGGTTGTCTTGTAAGGCAATACATGGGGCTGGGGCTGGGAGAAGGGAAATGACCAACCAGCCCTCTGCTGGCTATTTTTTGTTTGTTTTTTTTATTTTTTTTGCGGTACGCGGGCCTCTCACTGTTGTGGCCTCTCCCGTTGCAGAGCACAGGCTCCGGACGCGCAGGCTCAGCGGCCATGGCTTATGGGCCCAGCCGCTCCGCATCATGTGGGATCTTCCCAGACCGGGGCACGAACCCCCGTCCCCTGCATCGGCAGGCGGACTCTCATCCACTGCGCCACCAGGGAAGCCCCTGGCTTGTTTTTAAACCCTGTTTTTCCTCCCCAGTTCTTGCCCTGGTGTAGCTACTGGACTAGAGGATTGTTTTCTGATTGGTTACATAAGGCAAAGCATGGCTTCCTGTCTTCCGGGAGCAGGAGGGGCCCACCTCCTCTAGTTTCCATCCGGGGAGAGAGAGCAAAACAAAACTATCCCAGGCAAGGGCCAGCCAGCCAGATGAGAACCTGGTAGGGTGATCTCTCCCAGGTTAGGAGAATGTGACCTTAATTGGGAGCTCTGCCTTTGCCCCGTCCCTAGTCAGTTCCTGTGCCCATAAGGCCAGAGGCCTCACACAGCTGCGGAGAGAAGAGTGGAGTCTCCACACTTAACGTTCTTGGAGGTTTTGTCTTTCCCGTGACCAAGTCCTTTCTGGCTGGGGGTTGGAGGGAGTGCACATTCCCATGTGGGCTGCTCAGAGCGCTGTCCCTCAGCCCACCTGAGGTGGCCCATCTCCAACCACCTGCCAGGCCTCAGCGGGCCCCTCACCCCCTTGGCGAACACTATAAGGGTTACCAGGTAGCCTGCATGTGGCCCAGTCGGCTTGGTCTTTGGTATGACCAGCACTTCCTGTCACCACTGCCCTCCACAGTCATGGTCAAGATGTCAGATCCTGGCAGATGTGGGTGCAGAGCTTCAATCTCTTCATGTCCAGGGCTCTGAGAAGTGCCACCTGCATTTAAAGGTCCGACCCACTTTAGTCATGTGCCTAAGCTAGGCAGGCACATGCTGTGAGCTTGAAAGAAAGGGAGCAGAAGGAAATGCGGTAATCCCCCCAGCAAGTTGGGTTCTGGTCCTCTTGGGAGTCCACAATTGGCACTTACCTTTGCGTCAATTCTAAGAAAGTGGCCAGGCAGTGTCCATGGTGAGCCTGGTTGACTCATACAGACTCACCGCACTTAACCCAGCCCTCCTTTCACGAGAGCACTCCAGGGTCCTACTGTGTATGAGCCCATCTCATTGAAGTCCACCCACAAGGCCCTTTACTTGGTACTTTAGCTGGACTTGAATGTGTAAATTTCAAGACTGCCTTTGTGTAAAGGTGTATAATCCAATATTCACAAACTCTGGTTTATTGAAAGGCTCTTTTTCGTTATCGTTTAAGCTGGATTTAAATGAACCTGTAATTAACATAACTGCCTCTTTTTAATGGCGTACAGTCTAAGATGTTCATGGATTCCACTGGACCACCCCTCCTCTTCCCAGTGGCCACGCCTCACCACCACGCTACTGAAAGTGAGGGACTCTTGCTGCGCTAAACAACACTTCTAGTTAGGATCTTATGGGGATTGGCTGGGATAAGAAGTAGGAAATATACCCCCTCCTCTTATAAGTCTAGGTTTTACTCCCAAGCTGAATGAAAGGAGACCAGAGAAACAGGGAGGAAGGGTTAAAGGTGAAAAATGCCGGGGTCTAAAAGATATTTCTGTGCACGTCTGGTTGTAATTGTTTGGACTTGCCTTAAAGCACTGGGAAGAGGTCCAGAGCTGGCGGGACAGTGTAGAGGAAGAAGGGTGGAACCAGCAGTGTTTTCCAAAGCTGTGGCTTTAACCACCATAGATTCTGCACTGGCAACTGTGATGAGAAGGGACTGCAGATCCCTGTTGCTATGGTTTCCTGAAACAGCCTCATCTCCCAGGAGAACACCCAGCCTTCCTCTTCTGTTCCTGATGGACTGCTGGGGACTAGGACAGGAAGAGCAGGGCTCTGGAATGCATCCTGTGCCTCTGGGGGCTGAACTGGCTGTGTGAGGTAGAATGCGTTCATTTACAGCCAGCAGGAAAGATCTCCCAGATTAGGATTAGCAAGAGCTGAGGGGCTTCAGCAGGCCGAGGGTCACAGTCTGGGACCCCAGAAGTTTTATCATGACTGCAGGGGCTGTGAGGTGTCCTGTTGGCTTGTTTGGGGCTCTCACCTCCGGGCAGGTTCTCTCCGGAGCTGCCAAGGCTGACACTGGTGGGTGGGGCAGCTCCAGCCTCAGCTCCCAGAGAGAAGAAGACAAGGTTTACAAACTGGGGCTTCCTCCCAGCCCACGCAGCTGAGCTGGGGAGACTTTATTCATTTCAAGGAAAGAGTGAGAACAGGAATGGGACGAAGTGTAAAAGTCAAAGGGGGAGGGCCAACACTGATATGAGAAGAGGGGGAACAAAGTCCAGTACAACATGGCAGCCAACACAGAGCTCGAGAGAGGGGCCGTGCACCATCACCAGGCCCCAGGCCAAGCGCACCCGATTTCTTCTCTCTTCAGACTTGAAGAAAAAGGGAAACTTGGGACTCTGGAGCACCAAGATGGGGCGAGCGGGTCAATACTGATGGACTTGGAGCTAGCACCGCAGCAGCCCTGCCTGGCCGGGGGCAAACCTCACCTCCCACCCCACGCTCCCCCAGAGGATCTCTCTGCCCTTCACACTGGTTTCTCAGTGGAGCAAGGGAAGTGGGGATTTCAACACAGCCCACTTCTGGCACACAGAACGTGGTCGATATGCTGGGCCCAGCTCACACCTCCCTGTACTCAGAGGCCGGGGGGCGGTGCCTGCGGAAGCCGCTGTAGCCAAGCCGGAAACCACCCAGGCAGGAGACCAAGGCGCGCACAGGCACACAGGCCTCTGGGCGCCACCAGCCAGAATTAGACCCCATCCCTGGGCCGGGAAGTCTAGTCTGAGCTGGAAGTGGTGGCATAAGATGGGGGCATAAGCGGGGGGCATAAGATGAGTGGGCCAGAAACCAGATACGGCCAACCTCCAGGCTCTTTCTGCTGCTCAGAACCCTGGCCCTAGGCTTCATCATGGCACCTGGGGACCGGGGGCACCGCTCTCCCCACTTGGCCACGCCCAGAAAGGATGGGTTGGTTGGCGAGATGGGCGAGGGGACCATGACCGTACTGAGGCCACGGGAGGGAGAGGACTGGCAGGTAGGTGGGTGGGAAGGCTTGAAACCCAGTTTCCCAGTGTTCTGACCTGGCACCCAGCACAGAGCACAGGCAGCCAGGCCTTGGGGAGCAATCACTGCCCGCCCTTGCCGACCCCCCTTCATCAAGCAGCTTTCTCTGCCCTTCCCTTGACCCCCTCCCCAGCCAGCAGCCCCTACCCCTGAGGAACCCACGCTGAGAGCTGGAAGGCAGTCCTGAGTCGGGAGGAGCGAGGCCTGGTCCCTCACAGGAATTGAGATGAGGTGATACTGAGGATGGTGACTAAGGCCCTGAAGTCCCTGCCTCTGCCTCCCCAGAAACTCTGCAGCCAGGCCAGCCCTAGGGAGCAGAGCCTGTGTAAACACGCCCAGGAGGGGAGGAGGGGTTGCTACATCTGTGAAACAGTTAAATTAAAAAGCACCGCTGTATCCTGTGGATGTCCACAGGCCCGAGGTCTGAGCGAGGAAGGGGGAGTGCTAGGGGGTTATCAGCTGTGGGTGGTCGGCTCCCTCCCTGGAAGACAGCAGTAGGGGCTTGGGGCTTCGTCCTGCTCCCTTCTCCCCAAAGGGCTTGGGAAGGAGCCAGAGGGTCAGAGCACCCTGCTGGGCTCCCATACCAGGAGCGGCTCCCTCACATCTCACCCTCAAGCCCTGTGGTCCACAGGGGCATCTGGGGTGTCTGCCGATGAGCGGCCTGCACGAGACACCCACATCCAGACCCACAAAAGGCCTCACTTTCAGCCTCACGCCTCCCAAATGGATCAATCTCCGCCTCAGGCGAATGTGTGAACGTGCGGACGCACCACCCCTCTCCCTGAAAACTGGGATGGGATGGGATGGTGAGTTAGAGCTCACAGTGGCCCTCGGATTGGTCTGGCTGGGGTGTAGTCCGGGGGACAGGTTAGGCACCTCCCCAGGGCCCAGTGACCCATGAGAAGGGGACTGAGCAGCTGGCTTCCCTGTTGGGCCTGGCTCTGGGCCAAGAGCTGCTGGTGTTAAGAGCTGCCAGCCTGGTGCCTTCCCTGGCGAGCACTTGCGTCAGCAAACGCATCCTGTCTCCCTCTCTCCCTTTCTTTGCTTCTCAGGCACAATCCATCTCCCTGGCAGGCTGAGAATTGCACTATTTCTATTCCACTCCACCCCCTCTGGTGTCTCAGCAACCGCAGGGGGTTCCTGGTATGTCTCTGGTCTGCAGGGAGAGTGAACATGAACGTGGGGTAGCTGCCCACTCTGAGCAGCATCAGCAGCGAGGACGCTGCCCTGGCCCGGCCTGCTCTGGGAGGCCTACAACTTTTCACGCTTTCCACCTCAAAGTACCTTGGTGGACCTCTCCCCAGCCCAAGCCCTCTCTACTTCAGAGATTACAAACCAGCATTCTTTTTCACGTTGGGCTTCGCAATTTTCTGAACTGACTGCCAACATTTAAAAATCAGCATATTTCACATAAAAATTCAGAGTTCTGGCCTCTCAACCAAAAAAAATCAGGCAATCTGATACTGCAGGGCCTGCGCTCAGAATGGCTGAGCAACAGCGGCTGCTTTAATGGGGTATGTCTTCATTAATTTGCCACAATCCCCACCCAGCCCTGCAGTCCTCCTTTTAGTCATCTGCCTGGCCCCGCAGGCATTTGAGTTTACAACTCTGGCTCTGGTCCTCCCTCTTCTAGGCCCCCAGCCCCGCTGCAGCCTTACTGCCAGCTGCCCCTGGCTGAATCCTAGCCTCTCAGTATTAAGAAACCTTAATGGTCATCTCATCCGGTTATCCTTCCGTAACCTAAATCCTTTCTATAGCTTTCAAGATGACAAGCAGCCATCTAGTCTTTGCTTGAATACCTCCAGCAACAGGGAACTCACTACTCCCCAAGGCCACCTGATTCTAAACGCTCCCCCACATTCTTTTCTCACTTACATCCTCCAGTTCTTGGGCCCTGCCTCTCCTTAGTGGCCGTACTGCCCCCTTGACCTACACCTCTTTGTTACTTGGGCCTCCAGAACCTTTCCCGCAGGCCCTCCAACCTCTCTCCACAACCTCTCACTTGCCCGCCAGGTATCTCACACCTGCCAGGCAGGCTGTGCAGACTCCAGCAGCTCAGGTTCTTCCCTGATGAGCTGCCTCACACAACAGGCCTGATCATCACCGGGCCCTCCACACCTACCCAGGCTGCTGAATGAGGGGAGGAAGGGCTGGGACACAGGCAGCCTGATCTGGTCTTCATTTCCCCAGCAAGGGCTAAGGTAATAGGAAGGGGGAGCAGTCCCTGGGGACTACCTACCAGGGGGACAGACCTGGGCCTGAGTGGCCCACCCCATCCCCAGCCATGGTTCCTGGACCCACCAGGTCTATTCAGTGCCCACAGTCATGCTGAGCCCAGTGCATATCTGGGCCCTTGGCAGAGCCCAGCTCCTCTGCAGGGAGGCCCCGGCTTCAGCAACAGGCAGAGCTGGGCTGAGCAAGGAGGCCAGGTAGGGGTCCGGGAACCCTTCCCCCAGTGGTTCTCTCCTGGGCTCTCGTCCAGCCCATCCCAGCATGGGCCCTGCCACGAGGCAATGTCAGCCCACAAAGCACTGTTCATGGGGCTGCAAGGGCCCGAGGACCCTCCTGAGCCACAGGCTCTGGCTCTTGGGGCAGATGTGGCCTGTGCTAAGCTCCTGATATGGGCCATACAGCCCTTTCTCAGGGTGGTTCCTACCCTGCTTTCCTTTCCCTGGGTGAAGATTCTGCCAAGGCAGACTGGACTGGAGAAACATCCCTCCCTCCATCCTGCCACAGGCCTAGCAGAGCTGGGAGGTTTCCCATAGATGGAATGGACCCAAATCCCAGAGAGACCTTGGGGCAGGGGTACCAGCAGAGCCAGCAACCCCTCCTCACCCAGCCCTGTGGCGCTTAGATCCTCTAAGCACTGGCCTTCCAGCCACTGGCAGATCCATTAGTTTTAAGTTTTTTTCCCAAATACCTTAAATTTCAGTTGTTGAGTTAAAAACTCAAAATTAAACTCTTCACTGCCTCATGGTCCAAAGTTAGGGGGCTTGGCCCAGCGGGAGGAGCAGCATCTTGGGTGGCTGAGCTGGGACACACTCTTCCCACTGCCCCTCACCCTGCCCCATCATCAGCCCCAACTTCCCCAGGAGCGAGGCCGGTTCTGGCAGGCAGATGCTGGCCCCCAGAAGTGGGTGCGGCTGGGGCACTGCCGCCTGCCTCACACCCGGATCTGGTACCCATTGAGGTCTGGCATGGCTTTGGGCTCCGAAGGCTTCTTCTCACCAGAAGGCCTGCAGGGAGGAGAGAGCAGAGGAGGGGGGAAGGGGTGAGTGGCTCCTCAGGGAGGTGTGGGAGCAGGGAGCAAGGGGTGGCTGCCCCTGCTGGCTCCCCACCTCCCCAGTCTCCAAGGTGTCCCAAAGGAATCGGTAGAGCCCCTGCGGAAGTGTGCTTCTGGAGGGCCCACACGCCTTGCTGTCCTGAGTGTGGTCCCTGCACTCTCTTGCAGGGTACTGCTTTTCACGGAGGTCAGCAATTCCGGCTGCAGTTAAGTAAGAAAGTAATAGTGTAACGCTTCGGTTTCTGTGAGGGGGATCTGTTCTCTCTGAAAACCTCCTAGGTCAAAGTGAAGGATGCTGGATATTGGAGGCCAGCTTGGCACCCCTTACACCAGAGAGGCGCCTCCAGAATGACAGCGACATTTAAATCAAGAGCCAGGCCGATGTGTAGGAGACAAATCTGATGAGGCAGCCTGGTGTCTTAACGGGATGCTTCTGCTATCTAGTTACAGGCAGAAACCACATACTCACAGGGGCAAAAGTTTCGTTCAAAGCCAGCCACCAGCTGCCATCTGACGTCAAACCTTTTCCAGTGATATTCCTGGAGGGACTCACTGTACGCAGGGCCCCGCCCCTTCTACCCTCCCTCCCACAGAGCCCATCCTGCCGCTGGCCCCCAGCCTTCCCTGTGGGTCTCCGGCTTGGCATCTGGGCCCCGCATAGGATGACCAGTGGGCCAGCAATGTCTTCTCTTGAGAAATGGGATCGCATTGCCGCCATATCAACACACAAACAAACACACCATCCTAAGTTCCCTCCAGCAGAGGCAAAATAGAGAAAGGTGAGAAAGAGAAGAGGTGGGGTAAGAACAGAGGGATCTGGAAGATGAGAGGGAAGGAAAATGCCTTTTGCTGTCTCCCCAGCCCCCCACCCAAGGCGAAACCCTTTTCTCACCGCCTTTCACTGCGGCTGTTCCTGCGGTGGGGGCTGGACTGGCCCCGCTGTGGGGAGGACACATCCTTCTTGCGGTCCTTGGTGGGGGAGGGAGGGCCGGTCCCTTTGCCAATCTTGGTGGGGAGGAAGAAACAAACACTCATTCCAGGACTGCCCCAGAGCCCGTCCTGCCCAGCAGGAACCACAAGCCCCAAAGCTGCCCAGGGCAGGGCCCAGGAAGCCTCGAGCCATGCTCTGCCGTCTCAGGGTCTTCCCAAACCTGTTTCCCAGGCACTAAAACTGCCAGGGCAGTGGTTCCACAGCAGGGCTGCCTAATCTCTGTTGGCCCCTGAAATAGCAAGGATATGGGTGGAAGTTACTGAGGGTTCATGGTGGCCCTTGAGAAGAGGGCCATTTACCCATGCCAGGTAGATGTGCCGGCTGGGGAAACAGCTCATGTCTGAGCTATGGGCTGGGATCCTACCAGACCTAAGGGTGACACTGGTTATCTCGAGTCAATCAGAAGTTCAGACTAGCAGCTGTATCTCTGATTCAGAAAAAAAAATGAGAAAAGCACGTGAATTTATGCAGCACTGTCCGTTTGACCTGAATCTTCAAAACTTGGGGTATACGAGAGGGGTACTGGAAGGGGGCAAATAACATGGGAAGTGCACAGCACCAAACAGATTGGGAAACACAGCACGAAAAACTAGGTAATAGTGCCTCCAACTCTAGATCCAACCTGCTCCCCTGAAGATGCAGTAACACTCCAGCAGCTGGGCACCCAGAGCTCTGCAGGGGAAGAGGGCAGCCCCTGAAAGCGGCAGGGTCAACTACAGCCCGCTTCTGCCCTGGGGAAGGCACTGTTGCCCCACGGTCTTGGCCTAGGGGCTGGCTGGCGGGGCAGGGCAGCCTTAGCTCTGCTGCATCCCCGCTGGGACACCTGAAAGCACCTGTGATATGCCTGGGTTCCCCATCCCGAGACTGAGCCCCAGTCCCATCTGTCTCCCACAGCCCACGAGCAAGTTGCTGGGCTGCCCGCACCTCACTTCCTTACCCTGAAAAGGGAGCACTCACCGCTGCCCGCTGCCCTCCCGGCGTTTTGGGGAGCAGCAGTGGATGCAAAGGTGCCACAGTCATGGCTGTGGCCCCAGGCTACCCGGAGGGGCAGCGCACAGGGCTGCATGACTGGGGAGGGGCTGGCAGGCCCCAGAAGGGGCACCCCCATCCACGGGAAACCAGGGAGAGGCCAAGATTTTGCTCACCTGTAAGGCTCTGGGGGCCAACTCCTCAGCAGCTCAGCCCGACTACTTCTGGGTCCAGCAGCCCCTCCCCCTCCTCCAAGACCCCTGCTCAGTGGGTGTGGGAAAGCAGGAGAAGGGACCAGCCCTCCTCGTGTCCCCACAGTCTGAACCTCCTCCTTTTTCTGACTTCCTCCTAGTCCTTCACTGGGGCTAGGGGTCAAGAGTCAGGATACACGGGGGTGATGGCAGCTGCTGCTCACCCCACACTACCATTCCCTCCAGACAGGCTATGATTTCCCTCCAGTCCTTATGCACAGCCCCCTCCACCTGGCCTGTGGCACCCCTGCCCTCCCCCACGTGCTCAAACCCGGCTCGTCTGCTGCCCCCTCCAGAGCCTCCCCTGGCCTGCTCACCGGAGGGGGCTGTCTCATGGATACCGACCTTTGAGCAAAGCCCGGAAACTTCTCCCCCTCATCTCCCTTAATCCTGGCACCACCTCTGCTGGGGCGGGGGGGACAGGGGAGGAGGGAGGGGGCTTCCCTGGAAGAGCGACCCCCTAGGAAGCGGCAGCCCTTCCGTCTCCACCCCTGCCGGCCCCTGGATGCTCAAGGGAGGCGCGGCCGCACACGTACCTTGAGCCGCATGTCGCGGGCGTGCCGCTCCAGCTCCTTGCGGAAGTCCTCGCGGCCCAGCCTCTCCACGTCCAGGACCGAGTGCTTCCACTCGATCTGCTCCACGCTGTGCGGGTCGTGGGACACGCACTGGCCCAGCTTCACCTTCTTCAACACGTGCCAGCAGCGGCTGTAGGCGGCCTCGTAGTCCAGCACGAGCTCGCTGAGCGTGCGGAAGGCCGGCGGCTTGTACATCAGGTCCTCGCGCCGGCTCATGCCCAGTGCCCCGTAGCGGCCGCCGAAGTTCACCCCCAGCACGATGTGGCGGAAATAGTTCCCTGAGAAGTAGGTCTTGAAGCTGATGGGGAAGCGTTCCAGGGCAGGCATGCTGTTGGTGAGGTAACTGGCCGCGCCGCCGCCCCAGCTAAGGAAACAGCCAGGGAGAGGCCCGAGGGCCAGCGCGCAGGGGCGGGACCGGGACGGCCTCCACCCCAACCTGGGAGAGGCTGAGTGAGCGGCCCTGCACCCCAGCTCCTGAGTGCTGGCAGCAGGTCTTGCTCACCTCCACTTCCTGTCGTCAGGGTTGGGCCTGGCGTAAGTAGGTGCTCAATAAACTCAATCTCTATGGGTCAGGGCACTCAGTGATTACCGGCTGCTGCTATGACCTCAAGCAGGGCTCACCAAATAACACCTTAAGAGTGAGGCCGGCACTCCAAACTGCAGGGCCCTCCAGAGTCCTGGGCTGAAGGACAGGTAAGAGGGCCCTCTGCCCACCACCCCGTCTCCCTCTCTCCTCCTGTCAGTCACACAGCCCTCCTCACCTCTACCTTGCCTCTCACACCGTCTTTCTCTCACACACACTTCCTCACAGAGGCACTGACAATCCTGTTCTCTCTCCACCCCCTACGCACAGACATACTGTCTGTTGCTCTTCAAATAAAACCAAGCTTGCCCCCGTGGCCTGGGAGGCCGAGAGCCTGGTCCAGCGGCCCACTGCAACCTCGACGGGAGAACTTCTGTGCCAGCTCTTTCCTCTAGCTGCTCCCTCCACCCCCTGCTGCAGCTGCCAGCTCGTCCTCAGGCCTCAGGCTTGGCCAGCACCGCTGACCTCCCTTTCTAAAGCAAGTCTGCTCTACGTATTTTCCCCACAGCACAACACCACAATCTGTAATTATTTTTCTTACTTCTTGGTTTACTTGCTTATTTTTTGTCTCCCCGACTAGAATGTAATCTTCTGAGAATGGGGACCTTGTCTGTCACATTCTTTGCTGTATCTCTGGGGCCCAGCACAGAGGTGGGCACACAACAGTCACTCAAAACTCTTCTTGAACAAACGGGTAGAATGAGATAAACAGGATAAAAGCTTGGAGGAGAGACCACGGAGACACTGCATCCAGCGTCCTACATGTACCCGCTCATTCAACTGTCCTAACAAACTTGCGGGATGGGATTGCCATCGTCCCCTTCTGCAGAGGAGGACTCCGAGGCTCAGAGATGTTAAGGGACTTGTTTGGCGTCATAGTGAGGATGCGACAGAGCTAGGATTCAGGTCCAGGTTGGCCTGACCCCGAAGTCTGTTCTCTCAGTCACCACTATGCTTACGGAGCCCGACTCCTTGCAAGCGAGTGACTGGGGACACAGATGAGCAAGGCGCAGGCTCAGTGTGCAGCGAGGATGAGGCCCAGGGACAAACCCAACACAGTGCTCACCACGTGTGTAGGAGGGACCCGTGGTGGTCCTGTGGGGACAGCGGGGAGGGGTCCCCCCAGATGGGGGCTGCTCCTGTTTTCTTCCCACCTACATACGAGCCAGCAGGTAACCCCTGAAAAGCCTGCAGGACCACGTGATCCCGTCTGGACCAGCTTCTCTGTGTGCTCAGGGGAAGGGGAACTCAGTCTCCCTCTTACGATGGGGTGGGAACCTCCACTTTGGTCCGCGGCTCTGAAGGGGTTGCTGGCAGCAGCCTGGAGTTCTTGGGCTGGCCTCACACTCGTCCCAGCAAAGAACCCTTTGGACAGGGCCATGCTCGTGGGGCTCTTTGGTCCATAGAGGACTGCCACAGTAGGGTTAGCTCTGAGGACCCCTCAGAGGGGGGAACCCCTTCAGTGTCTTCACATAGTTTAAGGCAGGTATGCCTACGGGGGTGGGGAGTGTCCCCCTCAGATCACAGTCCTCCTCAAAGAAGCTGTGCTCCTGGCCTTTGACCGTCGTCTTCTCTGGGACCTGCCCTAGCGAGTGGACTCCTCCGTCCCATTAGGCACCTGCCACCTTGCCCTGCTCAGCGCAGAGCCAGGTGCCTGCACCAGGGGTGGCAAGCAGAATATTTAAAAGCCTTGGTAGGTACAGGAAAGAGGGTGATGTGAGGGGTGGGCAGAGATGGATCGAGATTGGCCTTCAATTGGTACAACTGAGTGACGGACACATGGGTTCCATTATATTAATCTATGTTTATACAAGGTTAAGATTTTCTGCAACAAAACAAAACAGGGTAGGGCTCAGGCAGGATCCACTTATGACAGAGAACTGGCCATAAACACCTGTCTCCTTACTTTGCTCTAACTGGGGATATTGGGGGGCTTACACGTCCCACTTAGCTACTCTGGTAACCCAGCTATAGGTCCCAGTTCTACCCTTTGGGTGGGGGAGACTGAGAAACCCTGTTTGCTTTTTTTTTAATGGCAGTTTTATATCAAAGATCCCATCCATCATCTCCACAAATTAACATGTCCTGGAAATGCCAACATCTGGGCATCCAACCTGCTTCTTCCAGACTCTGGTTCTGGGAAATAGCACAACAGCCTTAGGAAACAATGTTCCCTGATTTGTGGTTCGGAGAACAGGGTCACCGCGTCCACGACTCAAAAAAGCTGCCCAGTAAGCCTCGGAAGTTAGCAACTGAGGTGCAAGGGACTGAGTCCCCCTCAAGTTCGTTCACTTTGGGCCAAGTTCATGACTGCTGGGAGAGGGAGCTGGGAGGGCCCTGGAGCTCACTCAGCCCCTCCCCTTCCAGAGGAAGAAGCTGGATCAGAGGTGCTGAGCACGTGCCTACCCCCACCCAGGCCTCTCAGCGGAAGGATACATTCCCAGGATCACGGCTTCCAGGCATTTGATTGGCAGAGCCTCTTTGGTCATTTCCTTGGCCAGGTCCATCAGCCTGGGGGGAAGGGAGGCAGAGTCATAAGGACAGAGGCTCCTTCCGGTGAAGGAGTGTCACGAGGTGGACTAGAGATGCCAGATGGACAGAGACTCCCCTCCCTTCCCAGCTGCCTCAGCTCAGGCCCAGCACCTCCCTCTCCTTCCCCCTCACATCCTTCCTGAGCCTAAGGGGGTGGGAGAAGAGGCAACCACTGAAGATAAGGAAAGAGGCCTCTTTCCCCTCCCCTCAGGCTCTGCTCCAAAACCTCTGGAGGGGAGGGTGACTGGGGGGCATGCAGTGGTAGGCAGATCTTTGACAGCCACTGGGCTAGGGGTCCTCTGTGAAGGTGGTGTTTGGGGGGGCCCATGGGAGAGCATGCCAACGGTGCTGGAGACCTTGGCCTTGATCTTGTCTCTTCACAGCACAGTGGACACCCCTGACCCAACTCTGACTTCTCTGAAGAGTTTGTAATTGATTGTAACTGCTGCCCCGCAGCTGGCCAGCTGCCTGGGGCCTGGACATGGGATCTCAGGAAGTTAGCTGACCAGTGGCTCCCCTGCCTGCTTCTTGAACTTGGAATTCAGGCCACTTTAACATAGACTATCCCTGAAGCCTGGTTCGTCCCTCCTCACCGAATGCTGCCCTCTGGGCCTCAGAATGCAGCCTGGCCACTGGCTTTGCTGGGGAGGATGCTGGACTCCTCCATCCCATGAGGCTGGAGCTGGGCCCACACACACAGCGGCCACAGGACAACAAGAGCAAAGCTTTGGGGTTAGCAAGGCTGCATTCCACCCGGGGGCTTGGAAAGGGGGTAATTAAGTAATTAGCTAATAAAACATTTAAAGCATTTTTTACAAGGCAGTGAACATGGACAGATTATATGTGGAGCAAGACGTAAAATTCACATTAATTTTAAAAGCACAGGGTTTTAGACACCTGGACAGCTTTGGGCTGGGCCCCCAGACCCAGCTGTGGCATTCAGTCTCCACTCTGATCTGCCCTAAGGGTTTCTTCGGGGTGGATCCAGTCAGGGGTCAACACTTGGGGTGTAGAATGGGAAGTGAGAGATGCAGTGTTCTCTCCAGTGGGGTCCCTGTTGCTCAGACACTGGGCCTTGTATTAAATGACCAGAAGAGAGTCCAGTAAGGCCACTGGGGTGACACGCAGGTCCCTGCCGTGGGGAGTGCACAGGCAGCTCCAGGGAATGGAGAGAAGGCGGAGGGCTCTCTCCTGCGAGGCCCACCTCTCTTAAAAAGAAGACGAGGCTCACACCCAGACATCTACCTGGAACTGCCCTCTGTCATCACCAAGCTGGGGGGCTGCCATCACCCTTGTGGCTCAGCGTGGATGTCAGGGTTCCTCATCCTCAAGGGAGCCCTGGCTGCCCGTCTTGGCCAGAGTCCCCTCTTTAGGATGTCCTAAGGAGGGCCCCACGGTGGTACTTACCCTGCTGGCGGGCTCCCCTGGGAAGAGTCCCTGCCTGCCTCATAAGCTTCCACCCACAGGTGCCCGAGGGGCTCCAACTGGACCAGGCGCTGCTACCTTGGTGCAGAGGGATGAGGCACTCCCCACACTTACCCTGTCAGAGGTCTGCTCTTCTTAATTTCAAAGAACTGCGTCCCTGTGTGATTGTACCTGTGGGTGCCGGTTAAGGGCTTCCTGGCTTGACCTGGAAGAGGTGTGTCCCTCTGCCCTCATCCGGACCCTGGGGATCCAGCACTCCCAGGGGTGCAGGCTGGGTAAGGACCCCACAAAATGCTTCTGTAAGGCACCTGGGAGGATGCTCAAAACCTGACTGTCTGAAGGGAGCAGGGGACGCAGCACGCTGCCTTCTCCTTGCCCCACAGGGCCCCTCTGCATCCTTCCCTCTCATCCTCTGCTGCCACCCTTGCTCTCCTAGGGAGGGAGCCGTGGGGCAGGCAGGCAGGCAGGCCAGGGCTGGGAAAGAGGCTGAGCTCTGGACAGCTCTCTGCAGCAACCAGTGAGAAGCAGCACGAACTGGGAGAAGGCTCGGGTGGGATTCCTGCACGACTGCGTTGCTGAGTGCCGCTCCCAAGCCAACCGCCTCCCTCTCCGGGCCCCAACGCCCCCCCGCCCCCCCACGGCAGAGGAAGGGCTGGACCCAGTTTTCAGTCAGCAGCCTGGCTTTTCTTCTGCTCAGGACCCGCGCCTGGTGCCTGGTCCTGCCATCTCTGACCGAATCTGCAGCTAGGAGGGCGGGGGAGAGCCTAGGTCGCATAGCTCCAGGCAGGGCACAGGGGTGGAGGGGCCCAACTCAGGGACACTGGGGAATCCTGGGCTCAGTGGAGGCTCTTGCCATGCTGGGCAACTGGCCTCCTGCCAGGGAAGAAAAAGGTGAAGAAATGGGAGAAACTTCCAAGATGGGGAAGTTACCTCCCGAAGCATAAAATCCTTTTTCTTCTCCATCTACCTGCTGCCCTCCCACCACACACCCATTTTAGACCAGTTTTTAAACAGCCCCAAGGGAAATTCTCCTGTCTCCCTCTGCTGGCACTGGATGGTCAGCAGAGGAGGTCTGGCCTGGCGGACCTGGACTAGGCTTCCACCAGCAGGTCGCTCAGGAGACATTTACCCCATCACACAGAGGAGGAAGCAGGTGGCAGAGAGGCTGAAGTGGGTCTGGCATTCATCAAACTACGTCCAACACCCGGGCGGACACGGGCTGCGCTTACACGACTCCGGGGCACAGAGATGCCATGGGAACGGCGCCCCTGGAGTTGTGGAGTGAGGCTGCTCTGCCGAGCCCTCTCTGGCCCTGTCCGAAAACAAGCCCCACTTGGCCTTTGGACCAGCCAGACGGTGGCCATGACCCTGAGCAGGGAGGATACTGCAGCTCCCTGATGTAGCGCTGCACAGCTTCCAGGCGCTCAGGGACAGGAGCAGAGGGCTGGAACGTAGGCACACTCGGTATGGGAATCTGGGGACGGAGAAAGAGCTCTGGTCACAGAGGGACGCTCACCGTAGGGCTTCCAGCCCACCCAACACTCAGATTAGCCCCCAGAGAAGACACATCCCATGGAGGGCCACCCCGGTTCTCTCCTTGGCCAAGCCTCTCTCCTCGGCAGCCCCTTCCAGAGGCTCCCGTCAGGCCCCCACCACAGCCCTTCTCTCCCTCCTGGCACTGGACGGCATTTCTAATTTGGAGCTTACGTCCATGTGTCAATTTTATGCTTCTTTAATGATTTCAGAAAAACACAGGTTGACTCACCTGACTCACAGGTGTTTGAATTTTAAATTTCATTAACTTTAAGGCTTAACAGGAATGTCAGTATTGGGGTGGCATTCACTCTGGTTCAAGGGCCGGATCAAAATCGGTTTATCAGGTGTCCCTGCCCGGGGCCGGGGGAGCGCTCCGTGAGAGGCGGACACAGCCTCGGCAGGTGGTGTCACCCACCACCCCCCATATCACAGCAGAGTGACTAGGCCTTCCAGCTCCAAGCTGAGCTGTCGAGGAGTAAGCGCAGGGGGCACGTGGTTTGGGACAGGTCTTGCCATGGAGTAGCCACTTTGAAGGGGTTCCATGGCAGCACAGGAACTCCGGTTCCCCTTCAATAGCCCCCTGTCCTACCAGCTCCACACCTGTAATCAGCACAGGTAACCAGGGAACCGTACAGTCCTCCTCACCAGAAGAGACTTTCCAGAGCCAGACCCGGGAAGGGGAGAGGTTGGGTGTCGGGCAGGGGCCTCCTGAGGGCTGGGAACCGCCAGCCTGGGCTGCCCAGATGCTGGGAGTCAGGTTAGGAGCTGTGGACACCCAGGGCTGTCCCTCAGCAACCAAGCCGTTGCTAGGAAAGAGGCCACCACCAGGTGTGCACCCCCAGGCCACCCTCTCCGGCCAGGGGAGCCCGAAGGCTGGCAGTTTGGCTGCCACAAGTCAGTGAGGCCTCAGAAGCCAAGGGAAGCATCAACCGGGTCCTCGGGGTTACAGAACGGCCTTCACTGGGTAGAACAACCAGATTTCCAGGGCCAAGGCTCACCCCTCTGGGGTCCCCCTTGGCTACCAGCACTGCCAGCTGTGAGATGGCCTCAGGCTCCTCACATGAAAAGGTCCCACGCTCTTCCCCCCAGGCCTCTGCCCAGCCCCCCAGCAGGCAGGGGCTGCTGAGAGTGTCAGTGTGCACAGGTAGCGAAGGGAAAGGGTAAAGCAGGAGCCCACAGGTAGGGCTGGGCTGGGGGAGGTGCTCCCTGGGGTGTGGTGAGGCACAGCCTTTTAAATAACGTGGCTACAGCGGCTGGGGCTCTGACATGAAGGGAAGTGACACACCAGTGATCACAGATGGCAGAGGGACACAGCACAGCCTTTAACAGACACCTACTTGCCCCAAGGGGCCGAGGCACAGAGGGGAGCCCCGGTCCAGGAGGTCTTCCTCCCCCTCACTGCCCGTCCCCTCCTTCCAGTCTGGGCAGCCCCAAGCCGCTGACACCTCATCTGGAGGAAACTACTTTCCCTTTCACACCACCCCCTGCTGCCCAAACTGTGGCCACCACTTACAATCAGCAGGGGGATAAAAGCCCCGGATGGTGGGCTCTCCCTCTGCCTGCCTGACCAACCTGTGCCAGACGGGCTCCAGAACTCTCTGAGGGCCTGGCTGGCCTCCCCGTGTCAAGGATATGGGGTGGGAGAGGAATTACTGCACAGTTTACTATAAACAGCATGGCACGTGGCTTTGTCAGGTGGAAGATCGATCCCAGGCACGTCATTCCCACTTCCCGTGAGGGCATCCAGTGACTTCGAGGAGCTTGGGTAGGGACTGTAAGTACACCCTCCCGGGAGACACTCCAAACAAGGAGGGCACTGTGGTCCAAGAGTCCTTTGACTAAGCTCACAGGAGCCAGCCCTGGGCCAGGGCCGGGCGGTACCCACGAGGGCATCCCCTGCCATCCAGACAGAGGACCCAGGAACTGGCGGCTCTGCAAAAACTAAACGGCTCCAAAAAAGTTAAAAAAAGACCTGGGATCCATGAGCAGGGGCTTAAAGGCCACGATCACTGAGGCTTAGCTGGAGGGAGCTGTCCAGCGGCTCAGTGACACATTAACTCACGTTAACCATTGCCAACAGGCCGGCACCTTTCTTCTGAATGTTCACACAAGCATACACTCATTCACTCAAACAGGCAAGATTCTGTACATCCAAATGATCGGGCCTAGTGGAGGGCTGGCAGCCTGGGTTTGCCCACAGCCCCCAACCACAAACCAGAAGCCAGGAAATGTGCCCTCACTGTTGAGCTGTGGGGTTAAGTGGGGTCACAGTGGAGGTAAGTGATATTGGCCCAGATCAATTCAGGGATGACTCCTCCTCCACTACCAAGGCCAAGGGTTACCTTTGCTCCAGGAACCCGCTAAAGTCCTGAGTTCTATTAATACATTCTCCCATGGCAGAGTCCATCTCAGACTAGAACAGAAAGGAGGCTTGGGGGAGGTGGGGCAGCCTGCAGCTGAGTGTGTGGACAAGATGTACGATAGCCTAAAGGCTGATAGAGCTGGATCTAGAACCGGTCCATCTCTGTCTAAATCCCAAGCCTGCCGCTCACTGCCTGGCAGCAAGATCCTAGTGGGTGCCATAACAGAACCAACCTCAGAGCCTAGATGAGACACTGCATGTCCAGGCCTTAGGACACGGCCTAAGGCCCTGCACACAGTCCTCTGTACACAGCAGAGGCTCGGTTCCTGCACACTGTCACTGTTATTCCTGTGCGTGCCAGCCCATGAGGACCCTGGCAATGCTGGCTTTTTGGGGGAGATGTCCAAATTCGCATTTTGCAGGAGCTCAGTGTCCAGAGCCCCACCAGTGGCCGCTGAGCTTTCACAAAGGTGGTGGCAGGGGCTTCCCTGGTGGCTCAGTGGTTAAGAATCAGTCTGCCAATGCAGGGGACACGGGTTCAAGTCCTGGTCCGGGAAGATCCCACATGCCGTGGAGCAACTAAGCCCGTGCGCCACAACTACTGAGCCTGCGCTCTAGAGCCCGCGAGCCACGACTCCTGAAGCCCTTGTGCCTAGAGCCCGTGATCCGCAACAAGAGAAGCCATGGCAATGAGAAGCCCGCGCACTGCAACGAAGAGTAGCCCCTGCTCACCGCAACCACAGAAAGCCCACACGCGGCAATGAAGACCCAACGCAGCCAAAGATAAAAAAATGAAATAAATAAATTTATTTAAAAAACAAAAGGCGGTGGCAGCTTGAAACATCAAGGAGACATTCATACAAAGGGGCACAAACTGCTCCTAGATCTGTGATCCTTTTAGAAATTGCTGTCCTTTAACATACTGACATCACCCTTTTAAAGGACGTTTCCCCAAAGCGCCTGTGGGGTGGTCTGCTGCACCCTCACCTCCTTGCTCCATTTGCTGGGTACGTATTACATGCTCACCCATTTCACATGCTTTACTTCATCAGTTCCTCCCAATAACCCCTCAAAAGTGGGTATTGCTATTATGCCCATTTTATATTTCACAGCTGAGGAAACTGAGGCACAAGGAGTTTGCATACCTTCCACCTACAAGTAGTTACGGAAGAACCAGGATTTGAACATGGTGGATGTGATGTTTTATCACACTACACTGCAGGGGCCATACAGGTAACCACAGGGAAAGCAGGCTGAGAATGAGTGGTGGGGACCATGGCCACCTGGGGGGAGTGGAACCAGCCCTCACCTCCAGCTGCCTGCTGCCATGTGGGATCACAGATTCTCTGTTCCCAGATCTTCTCATTTTCTGACAAGATGCCAAAAATCTGGACCTTGAATGTGAAGTCTCCCTATTTTAAATTTTGGCTCAAGTGGTCTTTTAAAACATTATGCCAGGGCTTCCCTGGTGGCACAGTGGTTGAGAATCCGCCTGCCAACGCAGGGGACACGGGTTTGATTCCTAGTCCGGGAAGATCCCACATGCCGTGGAGCAACTAAGCCCATGCACCTCAACTACTAAGCCTGCACTTTAGAGCCTGTGAGCCACAACTACTGAGCCTGCTTGCCGCAACTACTGAAGCCCGCGCACCTAGAGCCCATGCTCTGCAACAAGAGAAGCCACTGTGATGAGAAGCCCGTGCACTGCAACGAAGAGTAGCTCCTGCTCGCCGCAACTAGAGAAAGCCGGTGCGCAGCAATGAAGACCCAATGCAGCCAAAAACAGAAAACAACACAAAAAAAACAAACCAAAAAAACCCATTATGCCACCCCCAAACTTAGTCTCACCACAGTGTAACCTCTTCTGCGAATGCCTCTGTGTCAACTCCAAGGGCGTGACCACTCAGGGAGGGGCCAGCCCAGCACTGGGTGCATACTGCTGGCACTCTGGGACCTGACCCTGATGCCTCCCGGCCTCCTCCACCCTGTCCAGACTCTGGGGCTCCTTCCTGCTCTGGGCCGAGGTGGAGGAGGAACCCCACACACACTTTTCCTGTGGTTTGAGGAGGAGAAGTTTCCATTTTCCCAATCCTCTCACAAAATTCCTTCGGGACCAGCACACTCCTGTCAGTCATGACACCCCACAGACAATAGCTTCATTCCTTCATCAGTATCCTTCCTATGCACGAAGCTTGAAGATGACAAGATGACATCACCAAACCAGTTGCTAATGAGGTTGTCAATTTTTTTTTTTCAGCCCCCAGGAGTTGTGACAGTTCTGCAGGGGTCCATTCACACTCTCTCGTAGCCTGATTTAGACATCAACAGGATGGCTGGATAGCCATCTGCTAACCCCCAACTTGCTCACGTGGGAGAAGCATGTGGCTCTAGCTTCACTGGAACAAATGCTGAGTGAGATCTAGCCTCCTCTCCTGATGAAGGATGTGAACAGAGGTAATGAACATCCAGTAACCAGTACTGGTTTGAGGCTTTACAGTTTCTTAAATGCTTTAAAACATATTCTCTCATTTAAGCTTCACTACAACCAACCCCACTCTACAGATGAGAAAACTGTGGCTCAAAAAGGTTGAAGGGGCCTGCTTGAGTTCATAGCTAGGTGGGTGATCAGAACAGATGTCCATATCCTTTGACGCCACACTTCCTTTTCCAGGCATTTATCCCAAGGAAATAATCAGAGATGGACAGCCAAATTCATGTTTTAGAATGTGCAACACAGTGTTCACTTTAAGAATAAATTATCGGAAACAATGTCCAGACACAGGGAATTAGCTAAATTCTAAATTAGTACAGAAGGCGATTAGGTAGCCATTCAAAATCAAACCACATTTAATTTCCCCTGGAAATATAAGGCAGTTGCTCAACCTTCAACCTCTGAATTCAGCCTGTCCCAGAAGATAGTCTCTGATGGTTCTACCAATAACTTGGTAAAAAGAAAACAAAATAGGCCACCTGTCTCCATGTCTAATCCACATTAACTGCTCCTCTCCCTGGCCCCCTCCTTCTCACCTGAGCAGGCAGGACCTGAGCCTGGGGCTCTGACCTCTGTCCAATTGGCTTTTTTGGGGGGATTTCAGGACTCTGCATTTGGGAGAGTGTTTCCTTAGTCTTAACCATAACGTTGAGGGGGAAAAAAAATCAGGCCCGTTTTTCCACCTAGCACTATAGGGCACAGAAAGTCTCAAGAACCCTTTCATTCAGCAAACACTTACAAGTGCCTGTTCTGTACCAAGCACACAGGAGGTCTTGGAAAGACAAAGATGAATGAGACAGCCTCAGCCTCCACGGTGACACAACTGAAGGAGAGCTGTCATGGAGAAGTTCCAGGCGTACACAGATAAATGACTGAACATTGCCCCTCTCCACAGGCCCTCTTCTAACTGCCCTTGAACCTTGTGTCCCCCCAAGCAAAGGCCCTGGAACTGGAAGACCTGGGGGTGAGACCCAAGCTCTGCCACTTACTGGCTGCGGGACCCCTAGTTCCTACTTGAGTTTTCAGCATTCTTGTCTGTAAAATGGGTCCCCAAACTGCACTTAATGCACGAGGCTGTTGGAGAATTCAGGGAAACAACACATGAAAATATTTTCTCAACATCTTAAGCCCTGGAGCCTCCTTAGTCATTCATTCTCTCTCTGCCCACAGTTCTCTGACTTAGCAAATAAGATGTCAGGCCACTTTAGTGGACTTGTTAGTTAATCTGCTGCTCTGCCCACAGAACATGGGCTTTTTAGAAGAGATAGAGGAGGGCCTCCTGGAAACAGGGCATGTGGACCTCACAGAACAACCTCAACGGCAATTGAGAGAAAGTTCTTCTGGACAGGTTCAACCTACCCATATTTTTAACATATTACCATGCCAGTAGTTCCCCACCCCAACACAGAAAGTGTCCCTTTGCTCTGGAAGCTCCAAGGTCACTAAGACCTTAGCTCTCCGCTCCCCTCCCACACACAAACCCCTCACCTTGGGCAGGTCCATGGCCCCACGGATCCGCTGAGCCACCTTCTCTCCATCGGGGTGGATCTTAGCCACGTGCTTCCACATCCTCTCCCAGGTGGCCTCGTCCACAGGCAGCCCACCCCGGTTGATAAAGAAGGGGATGCCTCCATCTCGCAGGTCCTCTTCCCCTTCCTCTTCTGGCTCATCATCTCTCTGGGCTGAGGCTCCTTCGCTGGTCTCCAAACGCCTGGCCCCAGAGGGGACAGCAGCGGCAGTGGGGGCAGCACCGCTGCTGCCGCCCCCGACCACCTTCTTCCCCCCTGGCATCCCCAAATGCTTGACGGGGGTGGGAGGATGTCCCAGCGGACAGGGGTAAGAAAGGTGGCTCACAGGAGGCCTCCCACACACCAGCTGCAGAGATAACACATGGCCAAACAGAGTGCAAGGCGCCTTTAAGAAACCAGGGCGTGGCTCCCGTACAATAAAATACTACTTGATGAGGGGGGAAAAAATCAGTGCCTCAACGTGAAGTGCGGGGCAGAGGGGGTTGGTTGTCCCGGATGAGCCTTAGAGGCCTTGTTCTTTATGAAAAACGGCATCTAGAGAATACATCCCAACTTGGCAGCTTTCACAAAGCACCCCCATTTGACGGCGAGAACAATAACGGACAGCAGTCTGGGCTGGCAGAGGAAAGTCAGACGGAAACTGAGGCCAGGCAGCTCAGATCTGCGGCCACGAAAGGGTCAAGGCACGAGTGCCCACGCCGACTGGGCGCCCCAGCTCCCAGTTTTGCAGGCAAGCAAATTCCTCTACAAAATATCGCACTCTCACACCTGCGCGCGCTCCGGGGTGGGGACCGACCCGACTCCAGGCCGCGTCAGCTCCGAGCCGGGACCCCCGGACCGGAGGGCGGTGAGGGGGCGCGATTTCTCCGACGAGACGAGTCTGGGAGCCAAGACTCGCAGCTGGCGGGGCGCGGGGAGGGGGCGCGCGCCGACGCGCACATTCCACGCCCGCAGCCAACTCCCCGCACAAAGTGGGCTTTGTCTCGGCCCCCTGTGCCCTCGCCCCCGGGAAGGAGCGGTTGAGCCTCCAGAAGGGGGAAGGGCGCGGCGGGGTAGAGAAGCGGGGAGCGCCAAGGCCCAGTCGGTACCCAGCCGGGCGCGTCTCAGCGAGCGGATGGCGGGCACCCGGCGTCAACCTGCGCCAGCCGAGCCATCACGGGGCGCGGGTCCCGCTCCCGGGCCCGGGGCTCAGCGGGGAAGGCTCGGGCGGGGCGCAGGGTCACCGAGCGGCGGGCTGCGGCCACAGGGTCGCCGCCCTGGACTGGCTGCAGCATGGGCGGTGGCGCGGCCGGGACGGACGAAGGATGCTCCGCGGCTGTTAGCTCGGGCTCCAGCTGCGTACCCCACACCCCCAGCTAAGGGCTGCAGGCAGGACAGCTGAGCGGGGAGAGCAAGCCCGGAGGCTCGCGCAGCCACAGCCGCGGATGAAGCTAGAGGCGAGCGACAAAGACTCGGCGAGCGCGGGCTGCGCTAGTCCCCGGAGAGCAGCCCGCCGAGCGCGGGGTCCACGCGCAGGTCGCTGCTCCGAGGCTCGGCGAAGATCAGGCCACCGCCACCCCCGCCGCCTCAGGACCCAGCAGCTGCCGGCGGGGTCCACTGCCTGTCCGCCGCCCACCCGGCTCGACTCCGGCCTGCGCCGCGCATGCGCTCCGTCCCCCCCTTAAAGGGCCAGTGCGTTCCCGCCGGGGCCTCCGTCTCCCTCAGCCATTCCTCTGCCCCCAGTTACCTCTAGGAGGCCGGTGGGCTTGCGCTCCCCTCTCACCCCTCTCTCAGGACGCAGCGAAGCCGGTGCAGAGCTGCGGGCGAAGTTCGCAACCTGCCAAACCGAGCTCAAACTCCATGGAGATTCCGGGCTCGGAAGGCCCGCGGTCGGGAATTTCGTAAGGGGACTGCATGACTGAATTTCCCTCAGGGTGTAGAAACCAGACTATGGTTTGAAAATCCAGGGTTCTAGATCGTGTGGGACATGCAACAGATCACTGCCTTCTATGGGCCTCGGTTTCCCCATCTGTCAGCCGAGGTCTTCACACTGGGTGAGCACAGAGATCTCCCGGCGCGCGTGTTCCTTAACGGAGGCTATCAAGGGGTCAGGGTCACTACCCCTTGAAAATGAAAGGGTTAAGTCACCCTTTTCCACCCCATAACCTGCACCAGTGATAGCGGGGTGTGCTGACTTCGCTCCTGTGGGCCTCCCAGGACCCGGCTCTGGGCGCCAGGCGCACACGGCAGGGGGATGCTGCGCCCGAGTCTTAGGACCATGACCCACGCGAGGCGATGGCTGGGGAGGGTCAGCTGGCCCAGAAAAAGGCGAAAGTGTGGCTCACTGTTGTATGCGGGGCCCAGGACTGCGGAGACTCAAGGCACCCTCCCCCTCCCCCTTTCACAGAGTGGTGGAGCGGAAAAGCCTCGAACTGGGAGCAAAAGCAAGGAACTTGACTAAAATGAGACAGCTGGGGTACGCGCTTTAAGACTCCTCCCCTCCCCCCAGCAGCAGTTAGTGTGAAAAAGTAAATGCAGAACCCTGGGCCCCGGCAGGCAGATTCAGATTCCTCAGGTCTGTGACTGCTGCGTTTCTCACCTCTCCTGGGCTGGGACTGAGAAGACCTTGGAGAATCCCGAGGTCCTCAATGGTTCAACATCTGTTTCTTAAAGTTGCCCCTGGTGTCTGAATCCTAGGTCCCCTAGCTCCAGTAGCAAACTCTTGCTGCCTCCACTGTCAGAAGCCAAGGGTGATCAATGATGGGAAGGGTCAGTGGATGTCAAGAAAGTTACGAGGGAATCCTTTTAAGATGACTGAGGCAAGAAGACTCCAAGCATGTAAATACCACCAGGGACCAATAACTTCAACCTACTGATTGTTTAGATAGGGAAACCCAGTCTCAGAGAGTCATTTCCTCACGTTCACACAGCTAATAATTTGACCTGAATTCCTGCTTCTTCAGACACTTAGCTTTCACCATGCATTTTGCCTCTTGTGCTAGCTAAATGGTTGTAATGGTTTTAAAATATGTTTGCAAGTTCTTTACCACTTCTCTCAAAAGATGGAGTCTAATCCCCTTCCTTTTTAATGTGGGCTGGACTTAGTGTCTGGCTTCTAATGAATAGAAGGTGGTGGAAGCGATGGGATGTACCTCTCAAACCTAGGTCATAAAAAGGAGATATTCTTCCTGTCTCTTTCTTACTCTCTCAGGACACCCACCCTTGGAACGCAGCCACCATATTGTGAGGAAGCCCAAGCCACATGGGAGAGGTGACATGAAGTGGTCTGGCCGATATCTCCAGCTAGGCTCTCAGGCAACAGCCTGCCTCAACCACCAGCTAGGTGGTGAACTGAGACAATTCCGGCCCCCAGCCTTTGAGTCTTTCAGCCAACGTTCCAGATAAGGAGCAGAGACAAGCCAACCCCACTGTGCCCTGTCTGAAACTCTCTCCCACAGAAATTGGGAGATAAGAAGTGATCGTTGTTGTTTTTAAGCCGGTAGGTTTCGAGATTCTTTGTTACACAGCATTAGATAATGAATTCTGTGGGTTTCCTGAAATGATAAATAATAAAATAGATAGATTTGGGGTATTCATTCAAACAGTAAGTACTTACTGAGCACCTTTTATGTGCCTGACCCTGTACTAGGCACTGAGGCTACAGTGGTGAATAAGAGGGACATGGTCTTTGCCCTAGTAGGGCTATGGTCTACTAGTAGAGGAGATGTTTAAACATGTTTCCAGTAAAGTGCTTTGCCAGACGCTTGGTATAGGAAGGTACGGGAGTGCTTACCCCGGGCAACTTTCTGGTCAGGTGGGTTGTCGGGGAAAGAAGAAATGAGTTGGGCAAGGCCAGCATGGTCTTGGCTAGAGAGTTTTCTGGGGGGTGTTCTTAGAAGTGGGAAGGGATAGGTGTCAGTCCAGGTGGGAGGGGCATGCAAATAAGTTAGAAAATGGAGAAACTGGAAAGGGAGGTGTCTAATTCAATCTTATTTTAACTGAAAGCCCATAAAGGACAAGTGTCTTGCCTGGTGTCACACAGCTTGTAAACTGGGCCTAGATACTGTGTCCTGCATCAAATCCTCTCATGATTCCCCCACACTAATACCCAGAGAGCAAAACCTTGGGTAACTCCTTATTTGGCTCAAAGCTCTTATGGACCTGATCTGTCTTCACAAAAACGCTGGAAGAGGTTAGGAGGAGTTAATTCCCAATTTACAGATGAAGAAATGATGCACAGGGAAGCTAGGCAACTTAAGTACTTAGTTCAGAAGCTGGCACATCAGATCTTCTAGGTACCAGGGACTTTGATGATGACAAGGATGGTGATGATAATGATGCCTAGCCCATCTCATATATCACTGTTGTGATGGTCAAACTCTGGACTAATGTTCTGGAAACTGATACACAGTGTCTTAACGCCACTACTAACATTGGTATTTATGTACTCCAACTCATTTTCTATTCTTTTTTTTTTTTTGCGGTACACGGGCCTCTCACTGTTGTGGTCTCTCCCGTTGCGGAGCACAGGCTCCGGACGCGCAGGCTCAGCAGCCATGGCTCACGGGCCCAGCCGCTCCGCGGCATGTGGGATGTTCCCGGACCGGGGCACGAACCCGTATCCCCTGAATCGGCAGGAGGACTCTCAACCACTGGTGGGCCTCTCACTGTTGTGGCCTCTCCTATTGCAGAGCACAGGCTCTGAGGCGCAGGCTCAGCGGCCATGGCTCACGGGCCCAGCCGCTCCGCGGCATGTGGGATGTTCCCGGACCGGGGCACGAACCCGTATCCCCTGAATCGGCAGGAGGACTCTCAACCACTGCGCCACCAGGGAAGCCCTCATTTTCTATTCTTGTGACACTGAAGCTAGAGTAAAATTTCTGGAGAGGTTGATGTAGCTTGTGTCCTGGGCTCACCCCTTGGCTGGAGAAGGGCAGGGCAACTTCATTAGCTGTCCCCAAAAGACTGCAGTGGTGGTGACAGGGGGCTGCCCTAAATGAAAATGGGGTGCTGTTGGTAAAAGAGGGATGTGGAAGTACACAGCTACAGATGTGTTCATTAAAGGTACATACTCTTTGTTTGCAGTGTCCAGTGTGGTAGCCAGAAGTCATGTGGCTATTTAAATTTAATCAGCATCAAATAAAATTTAAAATTCAGTTCCTCAGTCACACTAGCCACATTTCAAGTACTCAGTAGCCACGTACCGTTTGTGGCTACTGTACTGAGCAGCACAGATTATAGAACATTTCCATCATTGCTGAAATTTCTATTAGACAGTACTGCTCTAGGATTCTTACTTGGAATTCAACTCTTTATTTTCTTCCTTTTTTTGGTGAATATGGAAATAGCAAAAAAGGTGAGTCAGAATCTTCATCCATTTATTCAATAAACATGTACTAAATGTCTACTCTGAATCATACGTTATTGTACGCACCAGGATGCCTGGGAGGGATCATGGAGATCTCCTGGTCCAGTGGATCTCACATGAGAATCATCCAGGGAGCTCTTTAAAGTACTGATACGTCACCCTAC